TAAAAATTATAAATGTTTTGAAAAATGTATATAATAAAAAAAAATAGAAAATGTGTTATGTGTATATATATATATTTTGAATTTAAGATTTAGTTAATTAGTTATAGTAGTGTTAAAAAAAAGTCAAAATGATGAGCCGGCGAGCCGAGCTTAAGCTCGGCTCGCAGAGCAGCTCGTTTTAGGCGAGCTCGGGCATGAGCCGAGCTCGCCCAAAATCCAACGAGCCGAGCTCGTGTGGGTATGGGTCGAGCCGAGCCACCACTATTCAACACACACACATACACACACAAATAAAAAAAATCATGAATCATGCTACAACAAAATAATTCTTGACATAATACCACATAACATCTCATTATTGGACTATTTTAAACACGGTCAACTTTTCAATCAAATCATCTGCTGCCAATTGAGATTATATCACTGCATTTGTTACAATTTTTCTGTCAAAGTAGTAAAATCCAAAAATCATATGTACTCATGTTAGGGGGTGTGTAATTTTTTTATATTTCAACCTATTTAACTCGTACCACCATCATCCATAGGGGTGAGCAAAAAAATAGAAAAATCGATTAAACCAACCGAACCAAACCGAGTCGGGGGGTTGGTTTGAACCAAAAAGTCGATTTGGTTCGGTTAATTTTAACCATTATAAAGTCGGGTTAGATTGGTTGCGGTTTAATCAACCAAACCGTCAATTAACCGATCCAACACGCAAATACATTTTTTTTTAATTTTTTTCATTTTAAAAAATCATCTTCTTAAACTTTAAAAAAATAAAAATACAAATACATTGAGTCGTTTATGTTGGAATTTATCCAAACCGACTAAGTCGGTTCGATTATGGGTTGGACTCAAAACCAAACCAACTCGAACCATGCCCAGATCTAATCATCCATTATAATTGATGTTATTGCCACCATCCACAACCAACCGTCATTACCATCTAAGTTATTGACATCCCATCACCACAAACATTCACTACGATCAACACAAGAAAATTATATAAACTGTCATTTCAATGTATATAATTCTTTTATATATATTGTAATTTGTTAACCAATACACTATCATCACCCACCATCGTACGTTTGTGGCATTGGTCACCACCACCACCACCATTTTTTCACCAAGAAAGACAAGAAGTGAGACAAAACAAGAAAACTCCATCAAGAACATATATTGTCACATTTTCAGAACAAGATCGGAACCAAGATCTACTATCCCCCACATTACCACAACCAACATATTCGACGATGAACATTATCATTAGATCCACTATCCGTCTTTGCTATCGTTACCAACATCTTCGACGTAATATCAATTTCTTCCTCTTCATTGAAAAATATCAACTCCGTCGTCAAAATTTGCACTCGAACTTTACGTTGAATATTCCTCTCCCCTGCCACCCATATGCACCACAACCAAGCCAATGATAAAAAAAAAAAAAAAGGAAGAAGTAAAATGCACACAAAAAACATTTATATGCGAACCACGACAAGACGATTCCACTGATGTGTTCGATTGGTTTTACATGTCCAACGAGCAACGAGAGAAACGACGACGACAAGTCAAATTCGTAGATTTGGTCCCGCGTGTATATGAACTACTTCCATTTAATCGGGTCTATTATCATGTTGAATTATATATGAACTACTCTCATTTAATCAGGTCTATTATCATGTTGAATTATATACGAACTACTCATTTAATCAGGTCTATTATCATGTTGAATTAGCAAGGTTTTTTTGTATATCTTGCCTTACCACATTGTTGACTCTATCTATGTGGTACAATTTGGGCAAAATCAATGGATAAGATGGTGTTATGTGAAAGAATGTAAAGAATAATGTCAACCATAATGTACATGTAGCATAATTGTTTTAATAATATTTTCAAAGAACTTGTTTGATCCCCATTTTTTTCAAAACATATTTTTTATCTCTTTTTTTCAATCACATATTTTTCAATAAATAATATTACACGCAATTCAAAAAAAATTCCTTCATTTCTAACCATATATTCTTCATTAATCTATTATTCCAAAAACATATTTTACACCAAAAATGGGGCTTAAAACATGTCCAAATACATTATTTTTGAAATTTTAAAAGGGAACAATACACAAAACCTATATATAAGAATTNATTTTCAAAATAAAGTATGGGAACAATACACAAAACCTACATATAAGAACTACTTTTCAAAACTAACAAATTTGTTTTATTATTTCAAAAATTAAGTGGTAAATAGATTTATTAAATATTAAATTATAATATAATATATATTAATTATTTACACCCCATGGCACCTCACCCACCCCCATTATCTCACTACACCACCTTCCCTTCATCTCCGACACCGCTCCGGCGACTGCTTCGACTATTACTCCGGTGGCCGCTCAGGTGACTCTGTGGCGATCACTCTGACGCCCAATTCCGCGCGATCACCCTGACGCCCGTTCCGACGGCCAACTTCCAAAATTTTCCAAAATTTTTTTGTCACAATCAGTTACAATTGGTCACCACGAGTCACAATTTACAAGTCACAATCGATCACAAAATGGCACAATCGGTCACAACGAGTCACAATTCACCGGTCACAATCGGTCACAAAAAGGCACAAACGGTCACTGGATGCTGTTTCCAGGA